TCCAATGTGTGTCCCATTGATGTATGAATGTGATAAAGCACTGATTATTCTTTATATAGATATATAGTAGTATGAACATAATATAGTATGAATGGGCACAGATTGTGTTGTAAAGCACTTTGAGTATCTTGATAAGATAAAAAGGTGCTGTATACCGTACTTTCCGCCGTACACACCACACCGTCCTGTAAATCGCATCAGTCCAAATATGTCTAATAAAGTGGGAAAATGCATAAATACTTGCATCTATTATGCATCACCACTGACAACCAGGAAAAGTGGGTCGACGTTCCCAAAATTGATTGGTTGCCAAATGCCAAATGCACTTTGACGGTCAAATCAGCTGCATTTTTAGGAGCTGATACGTGGAAATATGAACACACAGAGGGCGACTCGTTGTGCATTTCTTCAAAATTTAACAAGATAACAACCGAAAAACAATTATTTGTTTGCTCGACTTTATACTAAAGGTGTGTCTCAGTTGAACTTTTACTTAAAAAATGCACTTCAGTGGTCAAATCAGCTGCATTTCACCGGGGCGGCGCAGTGAAATGAAGCCGATTTGACGGTTGCTCCAGGCAGACGACGGTGGCAGCTTAAGGCAAGCCGACTGTGTCATTAATAGCCACTTTTACCTTTTTTTAATTTTTATTATTATTATTAAACCTTTTTTTAACCAGATAAAAACCCATTGAGACCAAGACCTCTTTCACAAGGGTTACCTGGCCAAGAACAGGTTACAGGAACTATTACATGACACTACGACATGCCATACTACTCAAGTGCTGTAAATGGTAGTGTTCAATATTTTCAGTCAGAATGAATGAAAACGGTCATATCTCAGCCAAAAATTGGTTTATAAAAATAGGGAAAATCCATAAATACGTCGCTTCGGTGTACAAGTCACAGGGCATGCAAATTATGCAAAAACCATGACTTATAGGGCAAAAAATACGGTAAGTAGAGTCCATTTAGGTGGTGTAAGTTAAACAATCTTTAAAGGCCAACCATGATGGTGCTGCTTTACACAAATACAAATAAGCAAAATGATTTTTCCTCCAGCCAGTTTGGTCTCCTTGTTGCTTTTTATGTCTTCAATGAGAGAAGCCAAGATGTGAAGAAACAACAATTTAAGCAAACAGTCAAATTCTGCTCTCCCGACATGTGGATGTTTACGTTAGCACACAAACTAATATAAATGTATTTTCATGAACTCTAATAAAGTCAAAGAAAATACATCAATGTCTTCAGATAATGACCGCATGCTCTTTTATAAACTGCATCAAAGACACATCGTGCTAACTAAAGAGGTCTTTCATGAAAAAGAGGTAGATTTTGGTCTCAATGTAAAACTTTCATACGCATCAAACATCTGTTAGAAAAACTCAGTGAAGGAGGATGTGAGAGATGTGCTTAAAAAAACTAATTCTCCCCAACAGTTGTTGAAAGGAGCCAATAATTCAATGTACTGCTCCAGGTGCTGCACGCATGCACACATGCACGCACACATGCACACGCACGCACACAGTCAATTACAGTACGACTGCAGCCCAGAGCCCAAGGGTCATCGGTGACTGATCGCTTCCTCGCCTCCTGTTGTCAGTGTGACGGTGAGTCGCCTCAACAGGAAGTTAGCCTACTTCCAGCACCACAGCCCCCCCCCCCCCCCCACACACACACATAAACACCCTGAACCTTGAGACAGAGCTTCCCAGGGCAGATCACAGATTTCATTATAAATGGGACTTTTCCGTGACATCATGATCATCATGTGGCTCAGTTGGTAGAGCTGCTGCCTCTCAGCGAGAAGGTTGCTGGTTCAAATCTTTCTGGGTGTAGTTTGCATGTTCTCTCCGTGCATGCGTGGGTTTTCTCCAGGTACTCCGGTTTCCTCCCACAGACCTGTCCAGGGTGTCCCCCGCCTCTCGCACAGTGACTGCTGGATATGGGCACCAGTGACCCAAAAGGGAAGAAGTGGGTAAAGCTCTTGATCATCAAGCCTTCCTGCTTTGTTTAACCAATCAATGAAGCTTCCTGTATTGATTAGTTACAGCTTAATGATAGGAAGGAAAGCTGCCACTGATCTCTGGTCAATAATGGAACAGCGTTTATCAATAATGAATGTGAAAACTGCTTCACAACAAAGAACCCCAAAAAACGATTCCATCGTTCGTGTGACTGAAAAATAAGACTGTGTTGTTTGTATTTATATAATTTGCATTTTATTGTCCGGGTGACTTTTCTTTAACTGTTTTCTCTCTGACCCCATTCCAGCAGTTGACAATAACATAATAAAGACATAATTAGCTGTGATGTGATGTGTTTGTCAGGAAATGCATGCGTGGCTTTATTATGAGCTACCGCCAATGGCAAAGTGATGCTGTTTTTACTGTCTGTGTGTGCATATTTCTGTCTGTTAGCAAAATATCTAATGAGTCACTGAACAAATGTTAATGAAACTTCCAGAAAGTAATCATTGGGTGTAAATCTACAGATTAGCTTTTAGGGTCAAACCAAATTCAAGATGGCAACCAGAACCAACACGCTATAATCCAACCAATTTTACTGACATTGAGCGAAAAGTTGATGTGGCAGGAGTTGAAAACCACCCAGAACACACACTCAGCATGAGCTCTCATCATATTGTGTGTAACTGCACAAACTTTATGTTGAGAGTTTAACTGAAGCAGCTACGACTATTTCTCATCATATGATCTCAGTCTAAAGGTGGTGGGCGATAAACCTCCATGAGTAACATTACAATCCACCTCTATCGTCCAACAAAACAAAAGGTGCAAAAGTGTCATATTCTCAAAAAAATTAAAATAAAAATCTATTTGAGGATTTGCAGCACACATCGAAGTGGCATGCCAGCATTACATTAAATGATTTGATTTGGTAATGTTACACCTTTGCAGGGCTTAATTTGTAAGCTGATCAATTGCAGAATGCAAAAAGCTGGTGGGCTGGGGGTGTCTGGGGGGTACTCCCCCTGAAAATTTTGAATAAAGTAAATGCAATTTCCAGCATTTTGGTGTATTTTAACAGGTTGTTACACATCTACATTTACCTACATTAGTAAACACTCCGCTTCTGTCAAGCGTCCTACCCCCCACCCTTACCTTTTACTTGACGGTTCTGAGCCCTACACTGTCCCTGCTCGTTGTTGGGCAACTCCACATGAAACCTCCAGGTACCTACCTGTGGGCACCTGCCCACGTACGACAGCCTGGTTAGCTCAGCACTCACTCCACCACTCTTTAAGGGGAGGAGACTTTTTTTAAGGGTAGACGAGGGAATGCCACTTACAGGGGCAGCTCGTATGTTCGTAAGTGGCTGTTGTGTTTAAAATTAGTGTTTATGTAATTGTTTTCAGTTTACATATCCAATAAAAATTGTATTTGTTCAAGGCAATCAAATTGGTTCATAACTTAATTATTAGTAATCCTGAGATTTACCGGATCCAAGCAAACGGTTACCGGAATGCACCCTGTCAAAATAAGAGAGTTCCGTCTCAAATTAAGCCCTGAACTCCTGTAAAGGGGAATAGTGAAAACAGACACAGTGTTACTTCTGTCACCTCCAGTGTTATAATGATGGCGAACAGAAGCGACATGTTTCCCCTGTGTTAACTCAGACATAACTAATCGAGACACGATCGGTAGATAAACTCTCAAAACATAAACTTTGAAAAGGTACCACTCTCTAAAGACTATATACAATTATAAGAAAAGTTACATGGAAGAAAATGCATTTAAAATGTGTTATCATTTTACAGCATCATTCTGTGGCTTTTAACTTGCAAGACCAGAATAATCGATCATAGATCACTAGATCATCAATCACAGTGCATCTTATGAATTTTACGTCAACTGAGGAATGAATGATGCAGTTTTTTCATTTACATTTCCCACATACTACCAAGAACCAAAGACAATTAATTTTAGCCAAATAATACAAAACAATTGTATTTTTCTTAATTTTATTTATCTTTTTTCAACTTAAACAGTTTTACAACCACTACAGTAGCGTGATAGCTTTACGGTTAGCACTGTAGCCTTGCAAGAAAGATGTGATGGATTCAATCCCCGGGATGGACCTGGGGTCTTCCTGGGTGGAGTTTGCATGTTCTCCTGGTGTATGAGTGGGTTTTCTCCCAGTACTCCAGTTTCCTCACACAGTTCTCGAGTCATTTGTGCAGGTTTGTTCTTTACGATGCGTGTTCGTGTACTGAAAACCTGACGGTGCGCCAAGTGTGCATTAGCTGTACACGGGCTGGCAACAAAAACCCCTGACTGTGTGAGTGGGAGCGTTTCCTCATCTTCAGGTCAGCACAAACTGCTGCTCGTCTTCCCTCTAGGCTCGTTTTTCTACTCCTGATGCTGTGTTTGTGTGAAGCAGCTTCACAAAGCCCCCGGACATGTTTCAATTTCTTCTCCTGCTCGACTTTGAGGCTCTTCAAGGCCTTTTAGCAGCCATCTGGCTTCCCTCCAGCATCCAAGACAGAACGGCCTCTCTCTGCTCTTCTTTTAGATATTGATAGACAAATGTTTTTGGCTAAGCAGAATTCTTTAGATCTTTGCACCGATTTCACAAAGTTTAAGGTATAAGGACTTTTAAACTTGTGTAAGTATAATAGGTAAAGTTTTTAATCTTTCTGTGTTTGATGCAGCCAACAAGCTAAATTTATTCGGAACCAAAAGCTAAAAGGATTAGCAACGTGTTACTAGCAGCAACATAAACACCAACCTTCGGCTCCTCCGTCTGGATTCAGTTAAACGCCAACAGCTTTAACGTCTGTTCAACCGTCTGCAAACCAGTCACTCGAAAAAAGAGCGTTGCCAGTTAATTCAAAGATGCACATCGTCTGGAACCTGGGTTAGGCTGCGGAAACTACTCGGTGACGGAAAGGGTTTCGTGGTCGATGAAGTCTGTGTCCGACATTAATGCGTTTCAAATCAACAAACGACCAAAACAGACGTTTTTGAGTCTTTTCCTACCTCGGCTGTTGGTTGCCAGATCAGCCACCTTCTGAAAGGCGTCCAGGAAGGCTGCGACCGCAACAACCGTCGTCCTGAGAGATGCAACAGACGCAGAGTTATTGAAAAAGCAAAAGCACAAAGTAACTTTTTAAATTTGAGGAATAAAATATACATCACATTTGTTTTTGACAATTGTACTGAACAAATCTGACAATTTATTTAACTGTGTCAGGGTGTGTGAAGAGACAATAGTGCAGATGCAAAAATCAAGACAAAGATAAGGAGAAAGATAAGGAGAGGTGTATTTTATGTAGATGCAAGGATCTGTATCCCCCGGTACATGAACACTGGATAAGAGAGGTCATGTTTCATGTTCATCTAAATATTCTCTGAAAGGTTCTGCTGAGAGATTTTGGGACACTTGGCATCCATTTACATTTTATTTTGAAAATATGTCAATACCTGTCTAATATGTTTGCGTCTATGTAGTTGATCCGGTGTGGGAGGGGGATTTGTTGAGTGTGTGTGTGTGTGTGTGTTAAAGGGAAAATTAAATAAAAAGACTTTGATAAAAATAAAAAAGATGAGGAGAGGTGCACCTGTCTTCTGTCTCAGACTTGAATCTCCATGACAACTTCATGCTGGTGTCATTAATCTCTGCCAGCTAAAGAAGGCTAATAAGGTTGTGCATGTGTGCATGTGTGTGTGTGCGTGCATTAGATTGCTGCAAGGCAGGTAACACTGGCTGGTTAATGGCTGGAAGTGGTGAATAAAAGTGTGGTGAGATTTTCCCCGACAAAGCAACGTTTAGGTTTTAGCAGTTTGTGTCCATGTTCTGCAAACATCTGCTGTGTGTGTGTGCGTGTGTGTGTGTGTGTATTACATGGACGCAGCGACAGAACAGAACAGGAGGTGAGTCTGACATTTAAACACCTAATGAAGCAGACTGATGTTCGTGAGCTCAGGTTTAGAAACACCTGCAGCAGCGTGCGGCGGCTGCAGCTCAAGCTGAGCGACCCTGAAACTGTAGCATGCTGAGCCGACATCAGGCGATAAAAGTCTGTGCTCATGCTTAACCGTAACGAGACAAAGGGATGTCAAACTTTAGTAAATTATCAAAGATAATGACTGGAACTTTTTAGTTTCTAAAAAAAAAAAAATTAAATGTTGCAGGAATCCGATCATTTCCTGCAACATTAATGCAAAAAAACGTCTGAGAATCTTTTTGTAAATAAAAGATTAACGTGTTCTGGCACGGGTAACGTTTCAGTTTTGAATTTCTGTTCAGACTTACACGAGATCCAACATGGAGATGAGTACAGTACTTTACACCACTTTATAAGTCACATCAGCCCAAATATGTTTAATAAAGTGGAAAATAAAAACAAAACAATGCTTTGCTTCGCCGTATATTTCACATCTATTATGAGTCACCATTAACTACGTGGAAATGTGACCTGGTGTTGTGCGAAATGGTGGCCGTGGGAGCGTGCACGGGAGGACTAACAAGAATTTAACTAGATTAACACTTAAAAACAATTATTTATTTGCTCTAAATTATAGTAAATGTGCGTCTCAGTCTAAGTTCTTGGTGCTCTGGGAGCGCGCTCCGAGGGAGGACATCCGGAAGGAGGAACGCTGTGCATTTCTTCAAAATTTAACAAGATAAACACCTAAAACAATTGTTTGTTTGCTCAACATTATAGTAAAAGTGTCTCTCAGTTGAACTTTTACTTCATAAATGCACTTCAATGGTCAAATTAGCTGCATTTCAAAGGAGCGCCGCAGCAAAACGAGGCTGATTTGACGGTTGATCCAAGCGAGCTGGACGAAGGTGTTAGTCAATGGCAAGCCGACTGTGTCATTAATAGCCACTTTTACCTATTGCATGATACAACAGTGTGCCATACTACTCGAGTGCCATCTAGCGGCTGAAAATGGTAGTTCAATATTTACGGTCAGAATGAATGAAAACGGTCATATCTCAGCCAAATGGTGGTTTATAAATATGGGGGGGGGGGGGAAAAACAAATATGTTGCTTCAGCGTATAAGTCGCAGGGCATGCAAATTATACAAAAAAACGTGACTTATAGGACGAAAAATATCGTAAATCCATGTGTGGGTTCAAACATAAAGACATTTCTTTTTCAATGAATATCCATAATATAAGAAATGAGACATGTTGCACGTTCCAGGACATCGTTGGATCAGTTTGGGGCACAATGTTAGCAGATGAGCCGTGTAGCCATGTTTGTACGACCATTTTTTTTTTTTAAATAACAGTCTTTTTGTGTGCTTGGCTTGCAATTCTGTATTGTAGCCTGTACACGTTATTAATAAAAATAAATAAATAAACTAAAAATGTGTAATGCTCTCCATAAATATCTTTCCATAAAGGAAACATGTTTTCTGTCCAGCAGGAAACCTCAAGGATCGCGCCAACGCTGAACGTGCCAACAGTCCTGTCTGCCTGTAGGCTGTTACCATGGTGACGGATGACCACTTGTGATACAACTAGTTTTAAACCTGAGTTCACTCTGGGTGGGGTCCACCATACTGGAAGCAGCAGCCTGTGTGAATGTCTGGACCCAATCCAACACGAACCTGACTTCTGATCAGTTTCACATTTTACACACACAGTTTTCTAATTTCTGGATAACACACACACAGGCTACAGTTTGTAGGCGACAGCGGAGCCACTATTACAAAAAAAAGATGAATAATTGCTTTGAAACTCAAGAAAATATGACGCGCTTGTGAATAAGAATTTTTAAACTGTTCAAAGCCCAAACTGTTCCACCATATTAAATTGTTGGAGATCATCATTACAGTAAATAACAAGTGGGTGTGCGTTTGTTTCAGGTTACCTTGTAGGGACCCAATTTTACAAAAAAAATCAAGCATTGTGGGAATCAACTGCTCTTAATGGGGACCAAAGCCAGGTCCCCATCTCATTGGGGGGTTAGGTTAAGGTCTAAAGTGTGAACTCTGGATGGATTAGGGTTAGGCATGTACTGGTAATGGTTTGGTTTAGGGTAATGGTCAGGGTTAGGCTCCAGAAAATGAATGGAAGTCAACACAAGTCCCCAACAGGTATGTTTACAAGAACATGTGTGTGTGTGCGTTACCTAAGTTGTGACTGGAGTTTGGTGGCCTTGCTGATGAAGTCGTCCCAGACTGGGTAACTGCCCTGAAGAAAACATAAATAAAAAAAATATGATTAAGTATTCATATACATTGTTTTATTACAGCTGTCGTCATTTATAGCAGGGCTATTCAACTGGTGGGCCGTGGGCCTGTGCTCAGTTCGGCCCATCAATGGGTTCATTATTAAATAAAACTAGATTTTAAATCATAAAACAAACTTTTTTAATGACAATAACTGCTGAGCTTTTGGCTTTCAGTAACTGTGGCCCCCTGAGCAGTTTACTTGAACAGCCCTGATTTATAACAAATGTGTCAACATAGATTAAAAAAGTTAACACTTTTACTAAACTTGCACATTTGCCAAAAAACTAAATAAAATAAAATGTGAACTAAGCTTTTGTGTAGGTCAGGGCTGAAGAAACAGAGTCTTGGACCATTTCTACTACTTTAATATGATTATAAACAACTTTTTCATTATTAAAAGGAGCACACTCGTTTTTTCCTTTACATTAAAACGGACATTACAGATCGACTAAACAGTCAACAGGACATGTTTGGACATGCACAGCTCGTCTGACCCAAATCCAAATTTCAAACAGACAGCAGTTAAACACACTGGAGACAAATCGATTGGGCCGATCCATACGCCCCACCCACAGCAGCCTGTCCAGACGAGGCCAAACAAGCCCCTCCAGGCATGGAAATACAGCACATGTCCACGGACCGGGTGAAATATCAAACACGAGGAATTAATGCTGCAGTGCGGGGCTGCTGGATGTGTGTTTAAAGAAGCTGCGCAAACTGAAACTACAACATGGCAGCCAAATCCACAGAGACAACGAGGATATCCTCCTAATGCCAGCAGGTGGATGCAGCTGGACTGGGTGGGGCTCCCCTCCATCCGTCACTGCAGCAAAGGATCTGGGTCATGTTTACTCACAGGATCATACGCTGATCAATGTCACTGATTTATTTGAGCTCACATCTAAAATAATTACTTTAAAGCTTCCAGGATGATAAAAAAGATTAACATTAGTTCATCATTTGGCTACTTTCCAAATGAGTCACATCCTGCTGCTCTAGGAAATCCTCTTTTGTCTCAACATTAGTGAAAATCGTACCGCTGCAGAGGCACGTTCGAGAAAAATACGCAAAACAAACAAAAACAAGCATTCTGCATTGGTTGGTTTTTCATCTGTATCACAAAGAACGGTGCAGTTTTGTGCTTTTTATTGTGAACCGATTAAATTGATCACAACAGATGCTTTCAGTATCAATGCATGCAAATAAATTAAAATAAATACATTTAAAAAAATTGTAAAAAAAATCACAGGACTGGCTGCTGGACAAGAAAAAACAACCACTGAAAAGTAATAAATCCGTTTGAACACCAAAAATTTTTACCAACAAAGTTTTGCAAAAGTGTAATGCATATCTTCAAATAAACTTATATTCCTACTTTACTAAGAAATCTTTTAAAAGTTTTATTATCTCAAGCTTTGGCGTCTTTCGTTAAAAAGTACTCAATGGATCCCATCAAATAAAACATTCCTTTCCTGAACCGTACGAAATGGTGCAGTTTGAAAGAGTTTAATCCAGTACTTTTACAGATCTATTGATATGTACTTGTGAAATGCAAGCGGCACTTCAAATCGACAGAATTCGCCAACAACCGTGTGGAAGTTAGTCTCATGATTTACATACAGTCACATGTAGAATCTCAGAAGACATGTAATCATTCAACCTTTATTTATACAAGTCAGTCTCATTGGGTCACGAGGACTCTTATGAGACCTGTAGGTGGAAATACAAAGTAAATCTGCTAAATGCAAAAGAAAAACAAACAGCGTAACTAACCCTGAACAACAAAGTTCTTTCATGAACGTAACCGTTATTGTTGACCTGTTTTCAGTCACTTGGCGGTTTCTAAATTTGTGGATGTAAAGGACACATTAACCAACAAGAGCAAGAAAAAGGTGGAGATTTGGTTTCGTCCGTCCATGCATCCATCAATCCATCATCTTTACCTGCTTCTTCCTTTTCGGGTCGCGGGGGTCACTGGTGCTCATATCCAGCAATCACTGTGCGAGAAGTGGGGTACACCCTGGACGGGTCTCCAGTCCATCACAGGGACATTTTGGACAGGTCTCCAGTCCATCACAGGGACATCTTGGACAGGTCTCCAGTCCATCACAGGGACACATAGAGACAAACAACCATTCACTCTCTCACTCACACACACCTAGAGACAATTTAGAGTTACCAGTCAGTCTAACATGCATGTTTTTGGTCTGTGTGAGGAAACCGGGGCACCTGGAGGAAACCCACATATGCACGGAGAGAACATGCAAACTCCACCCACAAGGTCCCAGGACCGGGATTTGAACTGGCGACCTTCTCGCTGAGAGGAAACAGCTCTACCAACTGCGCCACCCATCAATCCATCCATTTTCTTTACCCGCTTATTCCATTTTGTGTCACGGGGGTCGCCGGTGCCCATGTCCAGCAATCACTGTGCGAGGGGCGGGGTACACCCTGGACGGGTCGCAAGTCCATCACAGGACCACATCGAGACAAACGAGACAAACAACCATTCACTCTCTCACTCACACCTAGGGACAATTTAGAGTTACCAATCAGCCTAACATGCATGTTTTTGGTCTGTGGGAGGAAACCGGAGTACCCGGAGAAAACCCACGCATGCACGGAGAGAACATGCAAACTCCACCCAGAAAGGCCCCCGGACCGGGATTTGAACCAGGGACCTGCTCGCTGAGAGGAAACATCTCTAACAACTGCGCCACCGTGCTGCCCAATTTGGTTTCGTACTACAGTAGGCCTATACCTTATTTATTTCTGGACCGGTGTTCATGACATGACAACGAGTACCTTTAAACACACCAACGCTGAATGTTGTTTGTTTTCTTCCAATGGGAGAGTTGAGGGTTCGATTCCACCAGCAGTCACATGCTGAAGTGTCCCTGGGCAAGACACTGAAGACGTAGCCTCCAGTGACTCCGACACCTCCTCAGGTTGCTTCCATTTGGACACAGGTGGACAAACCGACTGAAACACTCTTGTCCCTGTAGCCATGAGGCTTCTCAACAAACACTGATGTCTGTGCTGGTACTTTAATGTTGCAATGTCTTGTCTACTCTGGATGTTTTATGCGCTTACTGACTGTGAAACTAATCGCCCCTTGGGATAATAAAGATTCTTGAACTTGATCTTGATGTTCCCATCGGTGTATGAATGTGATTTAAAGCATTGATTATTCTTTGACATAGTAGAGTGTTGTATAAATCGTAAATGAGGACACAGATTGAAGTGTAAAGCGCTTAGAGTATCTTGATAAGATAGAAAGGTATTATATAAGTACAGTCCATTGATACTTGGATGATTGAGCATGAATTTTGTTGCTTTGAACCACTTTGGCTGTGGCTGCCTGCCTTGGAGGAAGTCGACCGAGGACATGATGGCCCCCAGAAACCATCTTAGCTCCAGCAAACTGGTTGGTCCACTTAAGAAGTTTACTGCTTGGCGAGGAAACAGTTTACTGGCTTTACTGGAACTCCTCAGACTGATGAAGCCCTCCGGATAGAGGGTGAAACATCTATATAAAAAATAAACTGTCCTGATGACCTGACTGAGAATTATTGGATGCGATACCTGGATGATTGAGCATGAACTTTGTTACAGTCCATTTACCATTTACTTTGTAATACAACTCAAACACTATGTATATGTATGATTTATGACAAAAGGGGCTAATATACAGTCCCCTCTAAAAGTATTGAAAGATGTGACTGACTGGTGTTGTTCACCAGACTTTGTGTTTAAGGTCGATTGTTCCAACATTAAATGTCTCTGCATGACCAGTCTAAGTTTGTCGCCTGGGTTTAAACCTATTAATATTGCATTTATTGTAAAAAAAAGAGGATAAACAAACAGGAAGACCACAGAGTTGTCTTTGGGAGAAAAGCAACGCATTCTGAAGCTGAGAAAATAAAGAAAATTGATCAGAACCATTGGACAAGCACTGGGCGTAGCAAGCACAACTTGGAATGTCCTGAAAAAGAAAGAACCTACTGGTGTAGTGAGCAACAGAAGTACAACAAGTCGGCCAAGGAAAATAGTAGCTGATGACAGAAATATTGGAAGAGCTATGAAGAAAACTCCAAAAACTTCAGTAACGTACAGTACATCATCTACTACCTCCACAATGCAGGGGTGAAGTTGTCACAATCCACTGTTGGAAGAAGACTCAGAGAGCAGAAATATAGAGACCATTCCACAAGATACAAACTACTCAGCAGTAAGAATCGGAAGGCCAGACTAGAATCTGCAGAGATAAGCCACAAATGTTCTGGACCACAGTTTTATGGACCGATGAGACTAAAGTGGTAGAGGTCAACGTGTGGAGAAAGAAAGGAACTGCATACAAGCTCATCTGTGAAGCATGGTGGAGGTCATGTCATGGCTGCTTCTTGAACAGGCTCGTTATTATTTATTGATGACTTAACCAATGATCGTAGCAGCTGAATGTACAGAAACATTTTGTCTGCCAATTTAAGAAGTGCATCCAAACTATCAGGGAGGAGGTTTTTCATGCAACAGGACAATGGCCCAGCGCACACTGCCGACAAAACAAACGACTTCGTCAGGGGAACAAAGCGGAAGGTTGACCTAGTGAGTCACCTGAACTTCACCCAATAGAGAATGCATTTCATCTCCAGAAGAGGAGACTGAGGGGAGAAAAACGAAAACAAAGGAATTTGCCTTGCTGTACAAGTACTTTTGGAGGGGGCTGTAACTAAGTAAATACATGTGTAATTTATGTAAACAGCACAAATAAAGTCTGTCGTCTCCCTGGCTGCTCGGTGGGCATCACCTCGTTCGTCTCTGCGTCATCGTCAGCACAGCTTCCACATCGAACGGAGCAGCTGAGCTGGGCGTGTTCAGCCTCCTGTTTGTGAGAGCGATGCTCAGCGTCATCGCCTGGATACAGTTGCTATGACAACGCTGCTGCTGCAGAGGGGCTTC